GCTTAGTCAAAGTTTGTTACATTTTCAATTTCTTCATCATTTACTGTTCTTTCTTGTTGACAGCCAGTATTGTCTGTGGGTATTACTTTGAGCCCTGCAGCTTAGAAAAGATTTGAGTTTTTTGTGTGTGCCTCTCTCCTACCTGATATACTTTGGGTACGCCACTCTCTCTTTTTCTCTCGTGTGTGTGTGTGTGTGTGCAAGCATGGGCGTGCGTGTGCATGTGTGTGTATATACAATTAAACCTAACACAAACTCATTTTTAAATGAACACTCATTTAACATGGACAAAATCTGGGTCCCAACAGGGTTATATTTTTCATAATATATCTACTAGTGTAAAAAACTGATAACACTAACTCCTGATTTTTCAGTCCCTTGAAATTCATATTAAAAGGGCTTTACTATATATACAAAGAACACTTCTGAAAATATTATATAACTGAGAGAATGGCACTTTAAAGCAACACAAACATGCAAATGTTTAAAACAATGGTGTGACAGGAATGTTGACTTATCATACCAAAAACAAAACAGAAAGGATTATTACTACAGAAATGATACAGGAATCATGCAACACAAAGTAATCACTGTCTGATGACAAAAAACAAAGCACCATTCTTCAACTGATCAGGCGTATTGAGTCCTATTTTGCAAACCCATAATGTTAGGCCAATCTGCATTTGATATGTACTGATAATATCCAGTATTTTATATTTCTATGTGTACTATGCACACCTTGCTGTGGCACAGAAGCTTGCAGGTTCCAGTAAATCCCCAGAACTAACTAAATTAACAGTAGCATAGGTGCCTCCCACACAGGACTAGAAGAAGTGAAGCACAAACCTGCTGCCTTGTAGATAGACTGGGGACAATCATAGGCTAGGGAAAGCAAATCCACAAAAAAGATAAATTCTTGTCTAAATCAAATACAGGGTTTTGCGTGTGACTGTAAATAATAATAATATAGACATACAATGTCATAATCATCAAAAAACAGGTATTTGCAGACGGCCGCTCTCCTCACAGCACAAATGAAAGTCTCTCGCTCTTTCTCTAGCTAATTCTCCAGCCCTGCGTGCTTTTATAGCCAACGCATCTTCATTGTCTTGCATCCATCTTCTCAGAGATCTGTCTTTGCATCGTGTTCCAGAAACTGTGCCCTTAATCACCATTCTCTCCAGGTCATCATGATGTTCAACATGGCCAAGATCCAACAGCTTTTGGCATAGGATGCTGTTTATGAGCAAGTTCTCCTCGATGTTTATTTAACAATGTTCTAGGTTACATTTCAGACTCTGTACTCTGTTAGCGAGCACAAATGTTTTTTGAGATCACTGGGTTTGTCGCTAGAGCTATGGAGTTTCATGCTTTGCGTGACCCTCAGAGGACAATACCCGCTCTGCTGAGAGAATGAGCCAAATGGGAGAAAATCTGGTGCTAGTGTCTTCTTCTTCTGCCTTTCTATCCCCCAATGGAGCATAGGCCCTCAACCAACTCACGCCAAGTCGTTCTATTCTTCGCCATTGCATAGAGCTCTCCCCATGTCCTTCCAATCTTTCTAACCTCATTCTCCAGCTCTCTTCTCCTTGTGTTTTTTGGCCTTCCTTTATTCCTATGCCCCTGTGGGTTCCAATGCAAAGACATTCTAGTTATGCTGTTCTCCTGTTTTCTCAGTGTGTGCCCTATCCAACGCCAGCGTCTTTTCCTCACCTCCTGATCCACTGGAGCCTGTTTAGTTCTCTCCCAAAGTTCTACATTAGTTATTCTATCATACCATTTTATTCCCTCTATTCTGCGCAGGCACCAGTTAATGAATGTCTGTAATTTATTAGTAATTGCCTTGGTTGTTCTCCATGTTTCCGCCCCATACAATAGTACTGATTTGACATTAGAATTAAAAATTTTTAGTTTAGTATTTCTTTTAATTTCTTTTGACCTCCACAAATTCCCTAGTGTTATGAAAGCCCCTCTTGCCTTTTGTATTCTAATTTTAATTTCTCTATAAGTTCCTCCATCTTTATCTACATTACTGCCTAAATAGGTGTACGACTCCACGTCTTGGAGTGGGGTGCCATTAAGAGAAACCACATTACTATTTGCCTGATATATTCTCATTATCTTTGTCTTTCCTTTATGGATTTTCAGACCAAGCTGCTGTGATCTCGCATTAAGTATATTTAATTTATCTTGTATCTGATTCCGTGAATGGGACAGAAGAGAAATATCATCAGCGAAGTCCAGATCATCAAGCTGTTTTGTAGGGGTCCACTGAATTCCATTCTTGGTGTTAGCAGTTACTGTTTTCATAGTCCAGTCTATAGCCAGTAAAAATAAGAGAGGCGACAAAAGACATCCCTGTCGCACACCTGTTTTTATTTCAAATGCATCTGTTAGCTTTCCCTCATGAAGAACTCGACATTTCATGTCTTTATATGTTGCCTTTACTAAGTTGATAATTTCCTGTGGGATTCCATAGTGCCCCATCAATTTCCAGAGAGATTCCCTATCAATGCTGTCAAATGCTTTTTCATAGTCTATAAATCCAATGTAAAGTGGTGAGTTCAGTTCAATGCTTTGCTCTATTATAATACGTAATGTGGCTATCTGATCAGTACAGGATCTGTTTGACCGAAAACCTGCCTGCTCATCTCTTAGCATTTTATCAATAGCATCTTTTAATCTTTCCAAAATAATTCTACTTAATATTTTTCCAGGAACTGACAGCAACATAATTCCTTTATAGTTTTCACACTCCTGTAGATCACCTTTTTTGGGCAGTTTCACAAGATATCCTTCTCTCCAGTCTGCTGGTATTTCTTCGGTCTCCCAGACTTTACTGAATAATCTATGTAGCAATTCTGTTGATGTGTTTATGTTGGTCCTGATGGCTTCAGCTGGGATACCATCTGGGCCTGACGCTTTTCCTTCCTTAAGAAGATTTATAGCTTTTCTAATTTCCTCTTTGGATGGTATCTCACAGTTGATATCCAGTTCCATTTCTAAAGGCTGGATATCTGGGGGAACCTCTGGGCCTGGTCTATTTAGAAGCATTTCAAAATATTCAACCCATCTGTCCATTTGATCTTTAGTGTTAGTAAGTACCCTTCCTTGACTATTTTTGATTGATCCAGTTGGCTGACTATATTTACCTACTAATTTTCTTGTGTTACTGTAAAGTCCTTTGAGGTTTCCTTTTGCTGCTGCTGTCTCCGCTTATTGTGCTAGATCATTTATCTGCCCTTATATGCCTCCTAACTTCCTTGTTGGCTTCTGTGTAATTCTCCTGAGCTCTAGCTTTAGCAGCTCTAGTTTTGCTATTGTTTAATTCTGCCTTTTTACTTTTCCTATCTTCAATCAGTTTAATGGTTTCTGGTGTTATCCATGCTTTATGTTTCCTTTCTTTCTTGCCAAGAACTTCTACGCAAGATTCATTCCAGATTCCTTTGATCTGATCCCAGCAGACTTCTGTGCTGACATCTTCAGCTAACTGCTGCAACACCTGGTACTTATTAGAGACCGTAACTGAGAACTGTTCCTTAATTTCTTTATCTTTCATGCTTTGCGTGACCCTCAGAGGACAATACCCACTCTGCTGAGAGAATGAGCCAAATGGGAGAAATTCTGGTGCTAGTGTACATCCCGTCATCACTTAACATCTTTTCAAGTTAGAATTTACATAATTTAGCAAAGTCAGTTCATGTTTAAATTCTGACATGACAAGGCTTGATAAAATATGAACTGTATGATTTCATCAGAGAATAAAAATATAAAATGCATTTATGTATAAATGTAAATTATGACTAGATTGTTTCATCTTTATCTTTCCTCAAAAGATTCAAGAAACTATTGAGTGTCTAATGAGAGCTGGGATGGATCAAGATTAGTAATCTATCTTGTCTCTTGTGGCAGAACCTGGATCCCTGAGTTGGCAAGTTAGAGCAGTTGGAGCACTCATCACTAGTTTACAGCAGGTTAAAGTTTACATTATACAGGGTGTTTGACTTGTGGTGTGGTAAGTTTTAGGTTTTCTTTTCTGACCAGCATCTAACCACAGTCAGTTTCAGACATCCTAGAACTGAAGTTCTGCTATACCAGCCTGAATGCTATAGTCTAGTTCAAGTGTGACAATTTTAGGAAGTTTAAAAACCGAGAGTTGCTTTTATTTAGTGCTCGTATTAAAAAAAATTAAGAAATCTCACAAACCTACTAGAACGATCTGTTTCAGAGATCTTTTACAGTCCTGATGCTGTGAAGCATTTCTGAGGTAGAGAAAAGAAGAAGAGAGCGTTTGAAAAGTAACTATACACTTATGGTTATTGTATTGTATTTTTTTGTGTTTGTGCATAAAAATCTATGCTGTATGTATATATGTGCGCTATTTATCAGTTACAACAGTTTAAAATGTCCTAATGCATATATTTATGGTAAATGAATAGTTTTTTATTTTTTATTTTTACAAACATGTAGATCAGGGCTATTCAACTGGTGGCCCAGGGATCAAATCTTGCCCACTAAGGCCTACTAAGTGGCCCATGGATCAGTGCCAGTTGTATTGTATTTATGGTTTTTCTATGCTGGGACTCAGGCCTCTCGTCCATGACCCTGACTTTTCAAAACTTTGGCCCCTGGGTAAACTTAGCTGAGTTGAATCAAGAATTGACACCACAGCACTCAGAGCAATCCCATATGTGCTTCGTCCCCATCTTCAGCAGCCAGTGCAGAGTTCTAATACCAATGGTACCGGTTGCAATCTGGTTATATGTCCATCTTGACTTTCCTCTGAGTGTAAACTTAGCTGAACAGCCCTGATGTAGATAGTAGGTATATAGTTATTCTTCAAACACTGTATTATGATAAATACTGTACAAGTCTCAACAGGATTCATCACGTATTCCAGTTTCCAGGACCACCTGATACATACATGCACAGTATTCTAATGTTGAACACATTTTTCTCTCAAACTGACTAGATCATATTAAAGCTGGCAAAAACGACACTCAAAGATCTTCATGCACTAGTTTTTCTTCAGCTTTCTGTTCATCTTCCAGTTGTTTCAAAATGTTACGAGCCTGTAGAAATCAACAGATAATACATAATTATTTCAACAGTTGTGTTGTGTAAAGTGTAAACAAACACAAAAGTCCAGTTGTTACAATTCAAATGCCATATTTATGGTGGAGCTTAAAACTTCCTCTTCTTCTTCTTTGCGTTCACCGGCTGTAAACTCCAGCGGAAAGTTCTGGTTGTTTGTCCACTTCTGGACAGCAGTCCTGTTCCAGAACCTGAGCGTTGCATCTGCATCCTTTTGACAGACCTGACCCATTTACATGCAGACTGTTGGTCCCTTGCCTCTCAGGCATATGTACTCTGACTTTGAAAGAAGCTACCAATTGCTCGACTCCTAAGATATGCTTTTGGGCAGGCAGTGGGTCTATTCTTGTTTTCCCCCACAATGAGGCCCCGGATCCGGGGTCCCATTAAAACTATCTTTAAAACAAATTTGTGATATTTTATTTGTTGAAAAGCAAACTTAGAATGTAATAAAATTAAATAAATGTAATCTCTGTGTCTTTTTCTCTCTCTCAATCTCGCTTGCACGTATACACACACATACATGCCTTACCTTGGACCTAATGATCTGTGTGACTTATGACCACACGCACTTACAACCACACGCACTTAACAACCACAGGCACTTACAACCAAACATACACACACAAATAAGTTTTAAAAAATAATAAAGAAAAAAAGAGGACAATATTGGTAGGATCAAAAAAGTTCCTGGAAATGTTGCTTCGAGTGCGGCAGGGTCTAATTATATATACACTGACTGCATTTTTGTGTTTTATGTATAATTTGTATAACCCATTTGAATAATACTGTTGAAATATAAATTTGACCTATGGCCTGTTCAAACAAATTGTTAGTCAGAACAGAACTTGGTCGTAAGTTCAGGAGACCCAATATATATTTATATAACTCTTAATCTATTACTACACTGTTCATCTCACAAAGTAATTCTTCTTCTTAATGTTCCCAGGCTGTAAACTCTTGCAGATAATTCTAGCTTTTTGTCTACTTCTGGATTTTAATCTTTATCGAGAAATTTTTTTTTTCATGCACATCCGCTTTACAGATCTGGCTTACTTGTGTGCAGACTGTTGGTTCCTCACCTCTCAAGCAGATACACTCCGACTTCAAACGAAACTCTCCTAATCAGTCATATTTTAGTGTATGCTTACTAAGGGAGGGGGTTCCCCCCCCATAATGGAGCCCCAGAACCCACAGGGAAGGTAGGGGGGGTGGGTGGGGGGGGGGGGGGACAAGTGTGCATTTCTATTAAAAAAGATTATTTTTGTGCTTTATAATATTGATGTCAATTCTGTAGAATGCAGCCAACAAGATACTATCAAAGAGAATCAGCAGGACAATCACATGACAAACCTGGATGTGTGCGAGCTCCTTATAACCAGGATCCAAAGTAAACCATAGGGCCAGAGCACACCTGTGTCCACTCTTGACCGCTTTCACACCATGAAATTCTCCAGCATGGAAACCAACCAGGCGGCCACATTTTGGTCTCAAAGAAACCTGAAGGGGAGGGAAATCAAGACAAGGTAATCATGAGGTAGATGCAGCTGTTGAGGTAGTGAGATAGGTAGTTCTTCACTAGATCACTGCATAATGAGGCAGTGTACCCAGCTCACTTCTTTACTGTCTTTAATTTTTCCACAACTGAAAAGTCAAATTTTAGCATAATGAGGTAGTGTACCCAGCTAACTCCTTTATTGTCTTTAATTTTCAGAAAACTCAAAGGTCCATATTTTACAGTATCAGGGGCTTAGAGGTTGCAAATGCAGTCTCACAATCCTGAAATACCAGGGGTCAAATTCAGCTGCAGGCGATTAGGTAGCAGACTGCTTTGTGTTGATTTTAAAAACATCAGAGAGCCGTACCATTCAGAATGCAATGGCAGACTAGTGAATGTAAAAAAAAAAAAAAAACCCAACACTTGGTGAGGATTGAAATGTGGACTACTTTATTAGTAAACTAGTGCACTTATCAATCACTATGCCATCACAAGGATAACATGCAGACAAACATGTAACAGCAGTATATCAGTGAGTAAGGTGGCTGGTTCATAACACCTCCAGTATATCAGTGAGTAAAGTGGCTGGTTCATAACACCTCCAGTATATCAGTGAGTAAGGAATCTGGTTAGTAACACTTTCTAACAAATGGGTGGTCATATCACTTTACACCGCATGTGGCTGTACATGCCTAGGTACAGTCCACAAATGATAAGAAAACACACAGTTGAAATGGTAAACCTGTGATAACAGTGATATGTGAGCAAAGGTGATAATTGTGTAGTAAAAGCAGTATATGAGCAGAAATAGTAAGTTTGTGGTAAAACTGGTACATGAGCAGCAGTGGTAAGTAAGTGGTTAATGTGGTATGTGAGTAGAACTTGTTTGTGGTACAAGTGGTACATGAGCAGCGGTGGTAAGTAAGTGTGAGTGGTTAATGTGGTATGTGAATAGAACTTTGGGGCGGGGGGGGGGGGGGGGGGGGGGGGAAGTGGTACATGAGCAGAAGTGGTAAGTAAGTTGTTAATGTGGCATGTGAGTAGAACTTGTTTGGGGGGAAAAGGAGTACATGAGCAGCAGTGGTAAGTAAGTGGTTAATGTGGAATGTGAGTAGAACTTGTTTGGGGGGAAAGTGGTACATGAGCAGCAGTGGTAAGTAAGTAGTTAATAGGGGAAAGGGGGTACATGAGTAACAGTGGTAAGTAAGTTGTTAATGTGGTATGTGAGTAGAACTTGTTTGGGAGGAAAGTGGTACATGAGCAGCAGTGGCAAGTGTGTGGTAACAGTGGTACAAAAGGAGAAGTGCTAAATGTTTGGTAAAAGTGCTATTAAGTGGACAGTGCAACAGAATAGACCAAATATCCATACACTGATAGACTAGTTCAGTGAGAAGGTGAGCAGGAGATCTGGAAGATATTCAACACTGCGAGGAAAACATAGGTCAAAGAAAGTGACAAGGAAGAAAGGGAGAAAATCTGTTTTACCTGTTCAGATTTGTTTGAATGTGCAAAGAAGAACTCTCCACCTTCGAAGTCAGAATTCAGATAAAGTACGGCACTGAAAAATATAAACAAATCATTAATATAGTGTATTTCATAATGAAACAGCAAACTGGCCTTATTACATGCCATTATAAATGGAGGTGTCTATAATGTTGGTCTAAATTTACTTTTTTTACTTTTACTTTACTGTTGAGACCTTGTCAAAGTCACCTACATGTAATTTTTGTGATTTCTATCTAAGTGCATTTTCATGGTTGTTGTTTATCCCTATATACTATGTCAAAATCACCTACATGAGATTTTGGCGATTTTTTTTTCTTGATCCAGAAACCATGAGTTGTAAACCCTTTGGCTCAGTTCAGTGAATATCACAACCCTTCGGCCTTGACTCCATGACAGATACTGTAAATCTGGGAAATGTGTGGCTTTTCTGCCTACCCCTGACTGCGAACTCGAACCACAAGAAGTTTGTCACCCGGCTGCCGCACAGGCTGGTTTAACCAACTGAGTTAGCGCGCCGGGCTACTATTTTTAATCTAAGTGCATTTTTATGGCAAATGCCAAAGACACATTTGTGAATTCCTACTCCAAGTAGGTTTTTAAAAAAAGCAGTATCTTTCATACAACTATATAATTTTATATTTTAATTTCAAATTTGTTCTTTTTTCTTCGCGTTCACCGGCTGTAAACTCCTGCGGAAAGGTTTGTCCACCTCTAAACATTAGTCTCGTTCCAGAACCTGAGTGCTGTGTGCTCATCTGTTTTTAAAAATCTGACTTACTAGTATGCCGACTGTTGGTTCAATGCCTCTCAGACAGATACACTCTGACTTCAAAAGGAAGCCTCCAATTAGTCGACTATTAGGACATGCTTGATGGGGGGAGGCAGTAAGTCTATTCTTGTTTTCCCCACACAGGGGTTCCAGAACATGCAAAGGGAAGTTCAAAGTTCAAACACAACTTTCTCAATACAAGGAATTAGCCCTCGGGTGACTCAAGCATAGTGCCAATTGGATGGCAAATTGGTTGTGCCATTTTTGGGTCAAGTTATGAGAAAAGGGAAAATAGAATATGTTGTGACCACTGGAAAGATAGATCTGTGGAAAAAAGAGACAGAGGAAGGCAGCGTGAAAAAGATTCTTGACAGTCTTTCGTCATGTCATGGAGGGGTGCCAACACACGAACTTACACAAGCAGTTGCAAATTGCAGATTGTGGAGAGGCATGATCCCCCACGCCAGTCGGCAAGGCACTTGAAGATCTAGGGAAGTTAAACCCATACTTCCCCGTTTGAGTTCCGGGGCCCAATTGTGGGGAAACCAGGAATAGACCAACTACTTTCCCAAAAGCATGTCGTAAGAGTCGACTAATTGGGAGCTTGCTTTTAAGACGGAGTACATCTGCCTTAGAGGCAGAGAACTAACAGTCTGCATGCAAATGAGTCAGTCCTGTGAAACGGATGTACATGCAACACTCAGGTTCTGGAACAGGACTAGGGTCCAGAAGTGGATGAACAACCAGAACTTTTCACCGGAGCTTACAGCCGGTGAAAGTGAAGAAGAAGAAGAAACCCACACCGAACCACTTTTTCTTCTGTGTCAACACTGATTATCAATAAAAGATTAAAATTGAGGAACTTATTTACATTCTATTAGGTGGGATCTAAATCAGAGGTACCAAACTAACAGCGAATATACTTCTTACTTTACGCAGCTGTCTAAAGAAATTACTTAACAAAACAACACCAAAAATACCAGAATTATCTCTGCAAGAACAGCCCTGAATGTTAAGTAATCACGTGTACACATGCAGTCTACCTGTAATCCCTGTGGATATAAGCCGGGAAATCTGGAGTGCAAGAGCCATCAGGCTGCAGTATACAGTTGTCTGCATGTACTGGGTGGCTCAGATCTTCTCTGTTGGTGTTGGAGTCTAAGAGAATTACACAAGGTTACCATCATTTTAAGAACCAAAAATATAAATACACACACTGATAAGGAGAACTCACCGGAGACACAAGAAATATTTCTTCTTATCAGAAATTGCTCTTATCCAGATAAGAGTTCAAGCAAGAAGAATTGTCGGGGAGGGGAGGGGGTGGGGGGGGGGGGGTGTTAACAAATTGTTCTTCACAAAAGAAATTCGCCATATTCAAAATAGGCTTGAGCGATCTTCACTGAATAACCAATCCAGACAAGAAAAATTATATCTTAACTGTAATCAATTTTCAGAATACAAAAGTTTGAGTTCTTTCCTTGTTGAAGCAGCTGTATTAGGTATTGTGCAGTTTTATCTGAGTTGAGTTTAACTGAGTTTCAAGAACCAATATCACAGCACTTGGGACATTTACATAAGCACTCCACAACATCCAATGTTTGTTTATTTTAAGTAGTTATGTTTTTCCTAACATTTTCTATCTTTTCTTTCCTATATTTTTTAAGACACTCTTTTTGATTGTTTAGTTTTTCCATAAAAACAAGACAGGGTCTTATATTAATGTTTGCTCCAAATTTTGCCATAGGGCTTAATTTCAGGCTTTCTTATTTATTATTTTTTTTTTTTTCAGGTACAAAAAAGCCTACATTTATTTAAGCACACATTTATACATTTATAAAAGCATTAATGTGAATAATATCATTTATTTGTATTTATGTATACATTCATCACTTTATAATTCAATATGTCCATCACATGTGTCAATGGACAACAAAAGCTGTCCATTTGGCTGAGCATCTTAACTAGGGCTTTTATTTGAGGTAAAGTTCCTAGAGTAAGTTTCATGAAAAAATATACTAGGGCTTACTAGTAGTATTAGTAGTTTTCCTTATCTGTTAAGTACAATTAATAACAGTAACATCAGAAGATAAAGCAAATTGAGGTACCGGGGTATCATTTTGGGTAGAAGCCTATCCTTCAGGGATCAAGTAGAGGAATTTGCGGTGAAATGCCAAAAAGGACTCAATGCTCTCAAAACTATGGCAGCAATGGACTTGGAACAAAGAATGCTGTTCACAATGTTCCAGCATGTGATCCTGTCGGTGACAGATTATGGATTCGGAATGCTTACCAAATCAAAGAGTCAGCTGATGAAACATGAACGCATTCAGAATGAAGCCATGTGGGTAATTGTGGGATGTACAAGAGACTCCTCGGTAGTATGTAGGCGATATAAACTTGCACTGCTTACTATTGCAGATAGGCTCAAAGTTCTACAAGCAAAGTCATATCTCAGAGAAGCTGCAGACAAGAAGCACCTCTTGCATGAAGCCCATGATAGTGCTAAGGGTCACAGACCGAAAAGAGGAAGATCCTGGGTGGCGCAAGTTGAAGATATGTGTGCAGGATTGATAAATTTGAGCTAGGAAAGGAGTGGGTCAGAGGTTCCAAGCAAGTTTCAGAAGTGTGTAGGGTTCTTATCACTTTAGGTCATGAGTGCAGGGACTGGTCAGCTGGTGCTGCAGAATCAGAAGTTCAACAAATGATTCACGACAATTCCCGACCAGGTGATGTGATTATCTATACAGATGCATCTGTATTGAGGTGCAGATGAAGTGCATGGTAATTTATAGCAAAGGTGAATGAACATCGCTTAGTGCAACAAAGCTTGGCATATGATATCACAACGTCTAGTTTAAGGATGGAGGTGGAGGCAGTCACTGCTGCCTTCCGCTGGCTTGAGAATCAGCTGTACACATGCAGTGATTGTAACTGACTCACACAGCATGCTGAGAAAGGTGAAGATAAGCATGTTCTGTGCATCACTTCAAAGGATATTCTCTCCAGGTCTCTCCAGGTCATATGGGTGTGTTAGGAAATGGGCAGGCACAGACAGATCATTATGGTCTGAGGTGAATGGGGCTGCAAGGAGTAACCAGAGGATCTGGCTGACGCTCACACTCAAGGACAAGGCTAGGCGGACATACAATCGGACATTTACTGCTGCCATCAAAACTGAAACTCTTCACTTGCTGCTGAAGATGGGGACAGAGCACTTATGGAAGTGTCCCTAGTGTTATATCGTTTCTTAATTCAACATTCATTATTCAATCTATCAAGCACAGTTTCATGCAAGGACTTACCGTCTACTGCAGTCCGACACACCAAATGAGTGTAGTCAAAATACAGAGGCTTTGTTAGATTAAAATATTTCTCCACTAGCAGACGTGAGTTTTCACTCAATTCCAAGAAAGTTCGAAGACCAAATATTGAGATCTTTCCTCGATGGCTGAGCTGCGTGAAGCATTGTACATTTTTATTGTTAAATGAAGAATAATTCAAAAATGGCTATGAACAGTCTTTGTATTTTAGTATGCTGCTGGTAATTTTTAAATGAGATCAACCAAATACAGTGGTATCTTAGAATTTGAACAATTCAAAATTCGAACAACTTGGAATCTGAACAAAACTTTCAAGTAAATTTTGCCTCTGAAACTGAATTCTGCCTTGGAAACCAGAGACCTTGCACATGCCAGCCAAACTGCAAATGTCTTAGGATCAGGAAGGGGGCCGGGGGAAGAAGGGGGGGGGGGGGGGCTGAAAGGATTATCACTGCAAAAATCCAAGATCTTTTGACCATTTGGTCGAAAACCCAAGAAGCTGATAAAGCCCTAGTTGACTTATTCAATGAAAAAAATATCAATCCTTATGATACTAGAAATACATTAGCCATTAGTTAAGTGAAATTAAACTTACAAACATTCATAATTCTAAAATTAGATTAGTTAAATCAAACTTAACTTGAAATGAATCGTGAAACTACAGACATTAGTTAAGTGAAACTAAACTTATAATCATTCAAGAAACTTTGTTATGTCATGTTCACACAATCGACGTCTTTACACTCTAGGCATCGCCATGAATGCTCAGTCCTCCGAAGCAGTAGCCACTCTAAGGTACCTCTACTGATTGTTCCCATGAAGAGTTGGTTACAGTATCTCCTGTCTTTACCTCGAAGACGGCATAGACGTGCTACACCATGCTTTAACTCCTCGGTCATGTAGTCGTGTTATCATCAGAGATTCCACATTATCCCCCAACCTAGTCCGTACTGCGCTGATGATATCAGCTCTGTCCATGCTCCTTCTCATTTTGCTGCATTACTTGCCAGCTGGTCAGCTCTTTCATTACCATGTACTCCGGCATGTCAAGGTGTATAGATCCAGATAGAGGTTAACTGTGACTGCTTTCTACCCATCTGGAGCAGAGACTAGAACTACATTAGTTCAGTGAAGATAACTTTACAACCATTCATGAAACTAAACTACATTAATTAAGTAAACTACATTAGCTCAGGGAAACTAAACTTACAATCATTCAAGAAACCAGAATTATATTAGTTCAGTAGTGAAATATTTACAATCATTCATGAAACTATAACTAGATATTAGTGCAGTGAAGCTAAACTTACAAGTGAGGCTAAACTTACAATCATTCATGAAACTACAACTACATTAATTAAGTAAACTACATTAGCTCAGGGAAACTGAATTTACAATCGTTCATGAAACTACAATTACATTATTTAAGTAAACTACATGAGCTCAGGGAAACTAAACTTACAATCATTCAAGAAACCAGAATTATATTAGTTCAGTAAAAAAAATATTTACAATCATTTATGAAACTATAACTAGATATTAGTGCAGTGAAGCTAAACTTACAATCATTCATGAAACTACAACTACATTAATTCAGTGAAACTAAACTTATTTATGATCACTCATGAAAACAGAGGGAGTCATCGTGGCAGAGCGGCTAGACACGCGCCATGGATCGGAAGGTCGTGGGTTCGCTCCCTGGTGAAGCTGGACTTTTCTTCAAAAATGACCTTGGCTCCCAGGTCGACCCAGCCTTGAGTGGGTACCGGGTGCAGCCCCGGGAAGTAGAGGCGGCCGGTGTGATGCTGACCTCATCACCCATCTTGTGCCATTGGTCTATAAAATATAGGTCTTGCCCTATATGCCTGAAGGCGTGGAAAAGGGTCTTTTACTCTTTTTTTTAACATGAAACCAGAACTACATTAGTTAGTAAAGCTAAAACTAGAACTACATTAGCTAAGTAGAGCTAAACTTACAATCATTCATGAAACTATAACTACATTAGTTCAGTGAAACTGCACTTACATTCACTCATGAAACTATAAATAGATTAGTTCAGTGAAGCTAAACATTCAATCATTCATGAAACTATAAGTACACTAATTTACCAAAACTCAACTACCAGCTTTATGAGAAAATGTAACTATATTAACTCAGTGAAACTAAATTACCAGTTTTTCAAGAAAAATATGAAATTAGTTTAGTCTTCTTCTTCTTCTTCTTCGATTCTTCTGTCAGAAAACTTATATCAGGAGGCCGGTAGCCTTTATGAAAGCTATCGTGCAATCCATATCCTCTCGTGTACCATACAATTTTGTCTTCAGTGTGGTTGGAATAGGCCAGATTGCGTCTCTGTTGTCAGCATACAGTTGACAGTGTTGGAGCACATGCTCAGCATTTTCGGGTGCCACGCTGCAGGGACACATCTCCATATTTCCAACACCGAAAAATTTGAACATATGTTGACAAAATCTGTTGTGCCCTTCTTTAGTCTGAATATAATCCATTATCACTAGAAACTGAAAATTTTAAATTTTAGTGCTGACTCTACAGTGAAAGTTATCTGCAGTTTTTTTTTTTTTTTAATCGATCACCGGCTGTGAATTCCAGTGGAAGGTCCCGGTTAATCGTCCGCTTTGACTTTTGGCTTTCACCTGGACCTGATTTTTGCGTGTACAACCGTTTTTCATTTCCCTGCCTCATGGGCAGCTGTACGCCGACTTCGAAGGAAGACGTCAGTCCTATTTCTAGGGTGACTGTGGCCATTTTTTTGTGTGGGTCGAGACGTTGCCTGATTTGTGTGGTGTCCACTTTGTCTCCATCGCCACAGGTATTGCCACCGGAGTACCCCTTTGGGGCAGCCCCCTGTGGAACAGTTAGCCCTCAAGGGAAGACAGGGGCAGATCATGGGCATTCCCCGCCATCCAAGGAGGCTTCCATGCATGCAGAGCCGGCACATGGCGCTCTGGTTCTGGGCTCACCCAAGGAATCGTCACGTCCTGCACATGCCTGCTTAACCTCACAACCGTATCAGGCCTCCCGCTCAACAGGGGCTGCGCCCTCTGGAAGTCAGCGGGGAGCAGCCCGTGGGTTTTGGACTTTTGTGACCACACAGGTAGGTACATTCTTTTTTTCTTCGCACGTTAGATTTCTTTGACGAGCCGTTAGCCCGACAGAATTTTACATCCTGCATCAGGCATATCGTTATCAGTTTTGTCCCAACACTCGGGCGAGTGGGGTCTTTGGGTGTGGACATTCGGTCTTTTTTTTAGTTCAATACAAATTTTGATGGTCAGATTTTGATCCATATGATCTAGTTTTGTCGGACATTTAGGCCTAGCCATCTGATGGATGGTTGCATTTGTGGTGTATCTCAGTGCGGTGATGACGACACTGAGGGTTAACCGAGGATGTACATGAATGGCCAGCCTATGGATGGTTGCTGTTGTGGAGTACCTCAGCGCGGTGACGACGACACTGAGGGTTAACAGAGGATGTGCAGTGAACAATGTTCTCTTTACTCCGCAGTCTTTTAACCAAGGGTTGTAATTTTGCTGTACGTTTGGCAAACCTACTCATGTTCCTAATGAGTTTTGATAACATTTTTCACCCAAGCGTTTGGGGGCGGGCTGATGAGAGCCACAAGGACACATCACCTCTGGGGGCCGCCGAACTCTGAGATCCCCTGACAGCTCTGTTAATGCTCATTTGAGACATTATCCATGGCGCACGACGAGGACGTGCTGTAGGGGTCTTGCGTGAGGTTCCGTACAACCAGGATAGTAAAGGACTGGCGCCCGAGTGACGTACGGAGTATCTCCTTATACACATCATGTTGGACTTAACTTCCCCTCACGCCTGTGACATAAATCACCGCGCCACAGATCTGCAGTTGATATGTGATCTTACTGTCTGTTATATTAAATTGTGAGATTAAAACAATATCAATGGTGATTGTGGGTGGACAATTTGTAAAGTTAAAAAAACTGTAACAAACTGATTACTGATTTAAGAATCATGGCACAACGGGCATACCCATAGATGCTCTGTCTCCCACAACAAATGTCTCAAGATGTAGATGCTACTGTTCCTGTAGCGCAATGCTTATACACATGTCATTCTTCTCCCCACATATGTTCCTCCTTGCCAGATCAACACCCCAATTCCAGGTTCACACATTCTTAAATACGTCTTTTTATCTAACCTAGTGTTCCCTATCAGCACTCGTTCATAAATAGTGTTCAGATTTTCCATGGCTCCATAACACAAATTTTCAGTTTTCAGAACACATAAAATTACAATGTAAAAAAGATAAACATGAGTGATACTTTCCTGTCAATAACAGTATCATCTATATGGCTACATCAACATATGCAACGTGTCAGTAAAATATCACCTATGCGACTACACTAACATAGAAACCCTGTCAGTAAAAGTATCACCTATGTGGCTACACTAACATATGCAACCTTTTAGTAAAAGTATCATACATGTGGTTGCACTAACATATACAACATATCAGTAAAAGTTTCATTTATATGGCTACATTACCAGATGCAGCCTTTTAGTAAAAGTATCATCTATGTAGCTACAGTAACCTGCAACCTGTTAGTAAAAGTATCATCTGTATGGCTACACTAACATATGCAACTTGTTAGTAAAAGCACAATCCATGTGGCAATATTAATATGACTGTAAACTCTAATCTGGTTAGCATTGAGCTGAATGCATAATACTCCCTAAAACCCTCATTTTGCTCCTAATCCCCCTTTCCCAGTGGAGAGCAGGCCCTTGACCAACTTATGCTAAGACATCCTATTGTAAGGCTCTATCATGAGATTAAAGCACATCTATGCCGTCTTCGAGACTGAGATAGGAGACATAACCAGCTCCTCACGGTTGCAACTGAGAGTAAATGAAAGAAGTAAAGAGTCCTTTTCCCACCTCTGGCATGTTGGGCATATAGGGCTAGACCTTTTTTTTTTATACAGAATTACATTTGATGGGTAATGTAGTCAACATTAGACTGCCTGTTTTTTACTTCCCAGGACACAGCCCGGTACACATATTGAGGCTGGGTCAACATGGAAGCCATTTTTTTAAAATTAATTTTGCCTCGATGTGGATTTGAATCCAACATCTCAGGGCTGGCATCCAAGTGTCTAGCCACTACAAAACTACGGCCCTTATCAGGAAAGTGATTTAGGTCTAATCCCCATCAGGAGCAGCATTCTGATTCCAAGAGAATGTGGTTTTGCAGACTCATCAAATAGATACAAGCACTCAAGAAAAGGAGCCACCCCAGTTCTTCTGATTTGGAAGTTGTGTAGAATATGAATTATTGACAGCCAGAGCGATAAGCAACACATTTGAAATGGGAATAGTCAAGTTTTATGTATACTCAACCCTACTTTATGGTGCAGAGACATGGGCAATGAACAGGCAACTAAAAAAATTGAATTGAGTCTCTGGACTTGTGAATATGCAGAAGAATAGGTGGTATTTCAGGGAAAGGGGAAAGGGAGGGGGGGGGGGGCAATCAAATACAGAAGATCTTCAGAGAATGCAAATGAAAACAGTTAATAAAATTAATTAATTAATTTTAAAAAGCTTTTTTCGCCACATTAAAAGACATAACACTTTTTAAAAAACAATACTGAAGGAGAAAGTCATGGTCAAGATAACAAGCAGCTGACAACAATTCAGATGGCAGAACAACATCAAAAGACCAACAACATCAAAAGACCAGCAATCTGAGAGAGTGTATAAGAGAAGAGACAAAGCATGCTGGAGATCAACAGCAGCCAATCTTCACTGTGTAGACAACACCTGATTTGAGAACGTGAATACAAACCTTGGAAGCTCTAAAAATGGTTATTCCTAGATACTTTTCATGCTCTGTGTGTGGAGATATGAAGGTAGGCTTGGCTGATCCTTCAGTGGACTCTTCAGCTACCACACCCATGATCTAGAAGCAGGGAAGGGAGAGAAGCAAAGCCCAGCTATATGAAAGCAAAGCATGGAAATACTGATTACCCGTTTATTATTATAATACATGAAGAAACCTGGTATGTATACACACACGCACATGTTTAATTTTATTCATGAAGAAACCTGGTATGTATACACACACACGCACGCACGTTTAATATTATACATGAGGAAACCTGGTATGTATACACACGTGCACATGTTTAATATTATACGTGAGGAAACCTGGTATGTATACACACGTGCACATGTTTAATATTATACGTGAGGAAACCTGGTATGTATACACACACACACACGCACATTTAATATTATACATGAGAAAACCTGGTATGTATACACACAAGCACGCATTTAATATTATACACAAGGAAACCTGGTATGTATACACACCCCACAAACACACACGCATTCGCACCAGCGTGTGCACACAACACACACACACACACTCACAAATCAAGGTTTTAAAAATGCTCTATCAGGTGACCCAGGTTCAAACCCCTGGTAGCGAGAAGGCTTTGTTTCTGTCGGGGCAGAAAACAAAATCTGAGCCTGCAGTCCATCAAGTCTGCACTAGCTACATGGCACTAAATCCTCAGGCTAAAAAATGATCCTGGCTCCCAGACTGACTCAGCCTCAAATAGGTACCAGCTAATATCCTGGGAAGTAAAGGCAGCTGGTATGATGTTGACCACATCACCCACTGAGTGGTAACTGGTCTATAAAATATTGGTCTAGCCCTAGATGCCTGGAGGTGTGGGGAAAAAGGGTCCTTTTACAAGACCCCCCTGTCCTTTGGCAACCTAAGAGTGGTAAATACAAACAGTTATCACTATCAATATCACCTAAAAGTGGTAAATACAATCACCTAAATACAATCAGTTATCACTATCACCTAAGAGTGGTAAACACAATCAGTTATCACTATCATCTAAGAGTGGTAAATACAGTTATCACTATCACCTAAGAGTGGTAAATACAATCAGTTATCACATCACCTAGGAGTGGTAAATACAATCAGTTATCACTTATCACCTAAGAGTGGTAAATACAATCAGTTATCACTATCAGAAAGTTTACAATAGTATGTAAAGTAATTAGGTGTCTGTCTGGCAAAAAAAAAAGGGTTCCCTTTACACGCCAGGGGTGCATCAGGTATAAAATGTTAGACTCATTTTATGGGCTAATGGACCCTCAATGTTTGATGTGGTCAACATATCACCCCCTTCACCTACCAGAACTGAAACTGGTACCCATTCAAAGCTGGGTCCAGCTGGGAACCAATGGTGCACTGGGAAAATTATGCATGTAAAAATATTTGTATAGAACAATCTGCACTTGACAAGTGATGTGCTTAACATCAATAAGACCTCTTATAAAGAGATGTTGAAATACAGACCTTACAAACTCGAGTGGATCAGCCACAGTTATGATGGTTTGGACATGCATGAGAAATGAGAGAGAATCAGCCATCACAGCAGGGATGGGAGGCCAAGAACCAGGGAGTGAGAGAACCAGGGAGTGAGAGAACCAGGGAGTGAGAGAACCAGGGAATGAGAGAACCAGGGAATGAGAGAACCAGGGAGTGAGAGAACCAGGGCGACCCAGGATTTGCTGGAAGAAAACATCCAACAGTCCCTGACTGACAGAGGACTGAAATGGAACAAAACCCGAAAGAAAACTGCTGATAGAGACGTCTGGCAATCTCTCTGGCAAACCTCTACACCCTGAGGTAGAATAGGACTAAGTAAAAGTAATAAGGAAATGCCTGAATAGTAGAAAGAATGTCAAATACATGCAGTGTACCAAGGCCAACCTACAAAATAGGTCAGGAAGACTTAATAAAGAATATGAGCTACAAACATCACCTCTCCCAAAGTGATGTTGGAATAAACAGCAGGGGAAATGTTAAATATGGGAAAAGTACCTGGGCTATATTATCTTAATGAAGACCTGCAAATTAAATAAAAATCAAAATATATGAAAGCTTTTACTTTGGCCTTTATGAAAGATTTACCTGATATATTAAAGTCACTTATTAGAGAATATATGAAAGTCAATATATGAATTATATTAATGTAGGAAAGCCATTATTGGGAAATACATGAAATCATTACTAAGAAATATATGAATATATGAAAGCATTGATTAAGGAATATATAAAACTCATTATAAGGGAATGTGTGAAATTATTATTAGGAAATATATGAAAAAGTAATTACTAGGGAATATACAAAAGTCTCAGGGAGTCAAAGCCATAATTTTTTTTTTTTTTTTTTAATTAAAAAATGTCTTGACTCCCAGGACTACCCAGCCTTGAGTGAGTACCAGGAGCAGTCATGGGAAGTAAAGGGTGCCAGCCTGATGCTGACCACATCACCCACCAAGTGTTGATTGGTTGATAAAATGTAGGTCTAGCCCTATATGCCGAATACGCCTGAAGGCTAGACATATTTTATAGACAAATCGGTACCTGATGGATGATGTGTCAACATCATATCAGCCACCTTTACTTCCGAGGACTTTTACCTGTAACCCACTTAAGGCTAGGTTGACCGGAGAGCCATGGTCTTTTTTTTTTAAAAATAAAGTCCAGCACTGTTTGGATCTGAACCTACAACCTTTGGATTTGCAGGTGAGTGTCTAGCCGTTACATTATACTGGCTCCTAGAATATATAATGTAAAACAGATAATTTGAGAAATAATGATGATAAGATAGATGTAATGTCACAGGAAGAAAGAAGCAAATCCTAAATATAGCAGCAGAGAACCAAGGCATTAAACAGGTGTATTGAGTTCAAATATCTAGGAACAACATTCACCATAGATGGGATGGTAAACTAGATGAAGAAATCAACACCTCAGGCAGTAAAACAAATCAAGTATTGGGACAGTTAGTCCCCCCCCCCCCCCCCCCCCCCCCACAGGCACAAGACTGTCCCAATCATCAAAAGAAACACTTCAAAGAAAGCATGTCTGAGAAGGGCTGCAGCAGTGATCAGGAGAGATCACATCAGGAATTTGGTCATAACAGAACAAAGTCGGCATACAACAAATTCAAAATCACACACAAAGACAGCGATGTGCAGGTCAGGGTTTGATTTCTACACCTGACAGAAAATAACCCATAGCCTTATAAGGATTTGAACCTCATCTTCACCTTCTTAACCATTTCGCCAGCCTCTCCTCAATACCCAAAAAGTAATATTATCTTTCTAATGTTAAAATGTCCATGACTGACCATCATCTTACATTCTGTGCAATGTGGCACTGGTAATCATGTCTACCCACAACCTTCTGGCTTATGTAATGTCAATAATTTCGGATAAAGTACACAGTTCTGAAGTGGCAAACATCACTTTAGCGGTCCCGGGTAGTTAGCATCCTTTGGATATTTTCTCTAGGTTACGTCGGTGTGTCAGGAAATGAGCAGGCATATAGACTGGCTGGCTCTGCACCACTTGGTTGGTAATTGATGTATGACAAGCCAGACATTGTGATTGCCCTTTGAGAGGGAGTAAACATTGTCGATGCACAGAGAGATCATTACCCCTTGAGGAAAATAGTGCTGCGAGGAGTTACCAGGCCATATGGCCAACAATCAAAACTCAAGGGAAAAGATGAGATGGATATATAATCAGACAGTTACTGGTGCCATCGGAATTGGAACTCTTCGCTTGCTGCTGAAGATGAAGAGGGAGCACTTATGGGAGTGTCCTGAGTACTACGATGTATATTCTCAATTCAAGATTCAACATTTTTTATAAAGATGTTCTTTTTGGCTCTATACTAAACTGTACCAACATCTTCTCTCTGGCTCTGTTCCTTTTAAATGTTCTGCTGTCATGACTCACTTCAGTTTCCTCTTTCTCATGAAGTGCCCAAAGAATGTTAATTGACAGTGATGGAAATGTAGTGTACATGGCTAAATTACTGTTATCTTTGTAAACTTTTATTACGTGTGGTTTTACTACGCATTAAACAAATTCCTGAAACTTTTTTTTAAGCTGCTATACAAAAGTGTTCAAGCTGCAGTTTGAACCTTCACCAAGCAATATTAAAATGGTAGGGAGTATGTCAAATATGAAGGAAGTACCTGGCCCATCTCATCTAGAGGCAGACCTGCAAAAATTTCATAAACTGTGTGAGGTGATGTTTTTCCTGAATAGCCATCACCTCGTTTGCCCACTTTCTGGAAAATGTTGCACAAGCAAATGACACTGTTAACAATGACAAACTGATTTCTAATACTGACTTTCTGTATGCTGTAGCCATACAATAAAGAGAGACACAGATAATGAGAAACCAAGAGATAAAAACAATCTTCTCTTGATGTAAAAAATATCTATGTAATTATAGTTCAAGTTTTTCAACAGTTTGAAGGATCCTTGTTGATAAATATTGCTGCATATACTGTGGTAGCAGTTTTTTTTTCATGACTGGTTTTTTTTAAAGTACATTAACATCATGACTAGCTGTCCCAATACTTGATTTGTTTTACTGCCTTTACAAAATCTTTCTAAAATCAGGGGTTGACCTATATGGCAGGTATGAATGTAGACCTTTACCACCTAGCAATCCTTTCAAAGATTGTACACCACTTATGGCACCTCCAGCAGACCGCTACAAATATAGCCACTAACACTTTGTTTAGTGAACATATCTGGCATATTAACACAACAATTAATACATACAAGACACACAGTAAGATATTAGCGCTAGTGTGTCAATATACAGGTTATGTGGTGTGGCCTTGTGTAGTTTTGGCACAAGTTATCATTTGTGTAGCTAACAACAGGTAGACCCAAGTTCTGGGCTAGTGATTGCCACCTATACGTTTGGAGGTCGATCAATATGCTAGGTATAAGCCTAACTCAGAATTTCAAGCTAAAAATTTTGAGAACGACTTGTATGCTGCAAATGATCATATTTTCTTCTTATTCTTAGGGCCTATTCATGGAGTTTGGTCTTAATTTAGAACTTGAGTTTTACATGCACATCCATTTTTCTGATCTGGTTTATTTGTATGCAGACTGATGGTTCTCTACCTCTCAGGCAGATGAACTCTGATTTTTAAGGAAACACCCCTAATTAGTTGCCTTTTTAAACATGCTTGTTAGGGTGCAGTTAGTCTACTCCCACCCCCCACCCCTCCCAACCCTGATAGGTCCCCAGAACCCACATAGGAAAATATATGGTAAATGTCTACTTCTTCTTTTGCCTTTAAAACTCCTGGTGAAACATAAATTCTCAAAGAAGCTCTTTGTAAAACTGGTGGTGGTTCCATGGGATTAAGTAACCTAATCTTATACTAACCCCTCCATAATTGCCTCTTATGACATACATGGTAGGTTACAGAGTTACTATTCTCTGCTTCTAATATGGGCACAGGTAACAGATAAGTGAGGTATACAGTATTAGGTACAGCTTCATGAGAACACAATTACCCACTTTTGGCTCACCCTGTATATGTATAATGTATAAAAAATTGCCATTGCAATGAGATCCTATTGCAATACCCTTGGAACCTTATACAAACTACTTCATAAATGATGCAGCTCGCCTAATCATAACCTAAACATCATCTACTACATATTCTTCTTGACAAAAGCAAACAAGAAACTAAATGGTGTGGACACATAAATATGATCCACCTGCCTTTCCAATCCATACTACATGGTAGTACAGGGGAAGAGAAGACATGGCAGGCCAAGAAAGACCTAAATCTGACATCTAGCAGAAGGGAAGAGTATCAAAGACTGAAACGTCAAAAACTAGAACATCTAATCACCAGAAATGGGGAAAAAAAACCAGACCAATGAACAGTAACTTGTTGACCCAATAGAGTATGGAACTAGACAAGTTAGATCAAACATATTCAGTCACAATGAAATAAACAAAACCTAATTACATACACAAAACATATGACCCTGCAATGCAAGCATGCAATCAAAGTTTTGTTCAAGAGTTCCCATGACTGCTTTCTATTATATCTGACAAATTCACAAAGATTATTGCTAATCTAGAAGAATGTATGCTGATAGATCTCAATGGAAATCATAGATTTTTAAAGGGATACTTTAATTATTCTTTCATATGCATGTGACTGTGTTAATGTGCCTATGCATGTGTATGTGCATGACAAGCTGATTAAGGTCAACAGCAAAAAGAACCCAACACATGTACATACCTGAACCATATTTATAAGGGTGCTGCATTGGATGTCAGAAGCTAAGCCATCGGCCACAAACCGTTGCTTTCCCATTAGTTCCTCACCAGTCTTTACAATCTTGACACCTAGATACAGATGGCAGCTGAGCAATTAGATAAAAGACAACTAAATACAGATTTCAACTGAGCAGTTAGATAAAAGACACATAAATACTGATCTCAACTGAGCAATTAGATTAAAGACACATAAATACTGATCTCAACTGAGCAGTTAGATTAAAGACACATAAATACTGATCTCAACTGAGCAGTTAGATTAAAGACACATAAATACTGATCTCAACTGAGCAGTTAGATTAAAGACACATAAATACTGATCTCAACTGAGCAATTAGATAAAAGACACCTAAATAGAGATGTCAAATGAGCATTTAGATAAAAAGACACCTAAGTATAGATGGCAAATAAGTATTTAGATAAAAGACACCTAAATACAGATGGCAACTGACCATTTAAATAAAAGACACCTAAATACAGATGGCAACTGATGATTTAAATAAAAGACATCTAAATACAGATTTCAAATGACCATTTAAATAAAAGACACCTAAATACAGATGTCAGCTGAGCATTTAAATAAAAGACACCTAAATACAGATGTCAACTGAGCATTTAAATAAAAACTAGTGCTATGAAATGTCTAAATTCATTTACTAACTGAACATTCTTTAATATGTATGTTTTTTTAAACTACATTGAAAACAATGAAGAATGTTAGCAGAGTGACTATAAGCTTGTTCCATCTATATTTTATCCATCCATTTTTTATGCCAGAGAAACTATAAACTTGCTTCATTTGTTCTTTGTGACAATAAGCCTGTAAATTTACTCCATTCACTCTTTGTGTCAATGAGTGACTGATTCCTTTCTTTCTTTACGCTAATGAAAATATAAACTTATTCCACCAATATTCCACCCACTATTTGCAATGAGAAGATAAACTTGTTCCATCCATATACCATCCATTAGCCGTGGAAATGAGACTATAAACATGTGCCATTCATGCTTTGTGACTATAAAGATTTTTCTCCCTCTATTTAGTACAATACAACAAATGTTGATGCGACAATGATGCCTATAAGCCAGGAGGCTTAACGTAAAAATCAGGACGCAACACACAATCGCTATAAGAAATATATCTACATCTACTAATTGATCTAGTCATGATAATTTATTTCAAGCGAACGAAAGAAGAAGAAGAAGAAGTACAATAAGACCAACTTATTTACATCCTTAGTTTTGCCAGCACAACTATAAACTTATTCCATCCATTCTGTTTCAATAAGACCATATATTTATTCAACACAGCTTAGAAAGGTGTATTTTTTGGGCTGGATGAAACAACCCTAAATGTCAAACTCTACAGTGCAGGTGTTTCCAGGATCCCATTGTTAGAGGAGAAAAAATAACAGGCTCTGTGCTCCTTAATAAGCAAGTCATAAAAGGGGACTCTGCCAACCAAAAGCCAAATCCACATTGTGACAGATTTTTTTAAAACAAAATTACCTTGGCTATCAGGTTGACCCAACCTAAAATGAAGTTTTTTGTGACATTTCATGGCTAGTGCTGAAAAAACTGTTTATGCAGTACTCTGTGAAGTTACGGTAATGGCTCCACAGTGCATAATTGGAAACAACGGTTCCCACAGTACAGCAGGTGGTGCAGGCAAATGCCATGACCTCCCAGCATTATTCCCTTTGATTCCATTTCCCCCCCCCCCCCCCCCCCCCCCCCCCCCCCCTCCCCCCCCCCCCCCCCCCCCCCCCCCCCCCATAAATATCAGAAAGCAAGACCTTTCTCATTACAAACATTACAGTCTAGCTTAGTGTACTGTAACTCCACTGTGGCTGCAGCTACAGCTCTCCCGCTTGTGTGTTGCAGTTTTGTCTCAGTATTTACGGTATGTACTGCATTTACTCCACAAACACTGGTAGATGTGAGCGGTGATCAAACAGCTGTGACTGAAGAGCTACCTAAGTGAGTGAACTTGGAAATATTTAGAGGGGAGGGGGGGAAGGTGTCCGGGTAGCCGGGGGTGGCTGAGGGAACCAGGTGGAAGCGATAATGTCTCGAGTTGGGACTAATAGGAAAGAACGGCAGTAAGTTACCAGACAAGGGTCTGTTGTCAGGAAAAAAAAGGAAAGGCTGGTAAGAAAATTGATAGTAGCTTGTATTTATTTATATTCTGTGTATAAAATGACCTCAATTTGACACTTTAAAAAATTGAGAAAACTCATGGTTTTATGCAAAGAAAAGAAAGGCAAATATTACAATAATGTACCTTCGTCTTCAAACTTTTTCAAAATATTATTTCCCATCTTCATTCCTCTTGCATACCGCAGTGCGTCCACTGCATGTAGCAGTGCTAAAGTGTCTCTGTATTCTTTCTCAACAGCTTGGTCAGAAGTGAATCTGAAACAGAAAATATTCTCAGGATCAGGTGAATTAAGTTTTTTCACTTAAACTATTTTCTAACTTAATGAATATATCTATAATTAGCTTTGTGTGGTTTCAGTGACTTTCTTATGATTATCAGAGGCTTTCTGTGTGGCTGTCAGTTGTTTTCTGTGGTGCTATCAGTGGCTTTCTGTGTGACTATCAATGGTTTTCTATATGACTGTCTTTGTCTAACAATGTGGCTTTTGGTGGATTTTTCCGTTGTTTACTGCATTGCTATCAGTAACTTTCTGCACGGCTATCAGTGACTGCCTGTCAGGCTATTGATGACTTTCTGCACGCCTATCAGTGACTGCCTGTCAGGCTATTGATGACTTTCTGCACGGCTATCAGTGACTGCCTGTCAGGCTTTTGATGACTTTCTGCACGGCTATCAGTGACTGCCTGTCAGGCTATTGATGACTTTCTGCACGGCTATCAGTGACTGCCTGTCAGGCTATAGATGACTTTCTGCATGGCTATCAGTGACTGCCTGTCAGGCTATTGATGTCTTTCCTATCAGTGACTGCCTGTCAGGCTATTGATGACTTTCTGCGTGGCTATTAGTGACTGCCTGTCAGGCTATTGATGACTTTCTGCACGGCTATCAGTGACTGCCTGTCAGGCTATTGATGACTTTCTGCATGGCTATCAGTGACTGCCTGTCAGGCTATTGATGACTTTCTGCACGGCTATCAGTGACTGCCTGTCAGGCTATTGGCTATTGATGACTTTCTGCACGGCTATCAGTGACTGCCTGTCAGGCTATTGATGACTTTCTGCACGGCTATCAGTGACTGCCTGTCAGGCTATTGATGACTTTCTGCACAGCTATCAGTGACTGCCTGTCAGGCTATTGATGACTTTCTGCACGGCTATCAGTGACTGCCTGTCAGGCTATTGATGACTTTCTGCACGGCTATCAGTGACTGCCTGTCAGGCTATTGATGACTTTCTGCACGGCTATCAGTGACTGCCTGTCAGGCTATTGATGACTTTCTGCACGGCTATCAGTGACTGCCTGTCAGGCTATTGATGACTTTCTGCACGGCTATCAGTGACTGCCTGTCAGGCTATTGATGACTTTCTGCACGGCTATCAGTGGCCGTGTGGCTATTAGTCACTGTGCTATTACTGTGGGTTTGGGGGCCCCATTGTGGGGAAAACAAGAATAGACTCACTGCCTCCTCAACAAGCATGACATAGGAGTCGACTAATTGGGGACACCCTTCGAAGTCTGAACTATAATTCTGCATATAAATAAGCCAGATCTGTTAAACGGATGTGCACGCCACACTCAGGTTCTGGAGCAAGACTGAAATCCGGAGGTGGACGAACACTCAAATCCTTGCGTCGAAGTGTACAGTCGGTGAATGCGAAAAAGAAGAAGAAGATCACCAGAATCATAGATCAAATCAGGGTTCTTGTCCTCGTCCCATCCATATTGTCAAGCCATCCAGGTATTTATCTGTTTGCTTTCTCTTTGCTCTTTTCTTATCAATTCTGCCAGTCTTCACCAAATCTTCAAGCCTATTTATTCTCATAACATGTCCAAAAGAAACACACTGTCCAATCTCTCTAATTAATTTATGGTTTTCATCTGTCTCAAGGAGGGGCTGCTTTATGTGTTCTTCTATCCTTCCAAATTCTTTGCATTCTTCTCAAAACACACACCTCTATGGGAAGTAAGTGTTTTTTCTGCACAAAAACATCGTGATATCACCTAAAGAATAGGAAAAATATTAAAGTGAAATGGAAATGAAACAGAAAAAGCACATATACCTAATCACCAAGGAACACATTTTATGATCCTTCTTTCGAGGAACCTTCATTGTGTGACAATCACCAGTATTGAATCCCACTGTTCGACCACATCTCACACCAAAAGAGTTCTGCAATTTGTAATTCAACATTAACTTCCAATCTAAACATGCTGAATATGCTGGTTAGTGATAACAATAAAACAGCTAAAAAAAACAAATCAAAAGATAGTGATGAGAATGTATGTCACCCACATTACCAACATGTCGCTAAGAGACCCTTGTGTGGGTTCCAGAGTCCCATTGTGGGAAAAACAAGAATAGATCCACTGCCTCCCTAACAAGCATGTCATAAGAGTCGGCTAATTAGGGGTTTCCTTCAAAGTCACAGTGCCTGCTTGAGATTCAAGGAACCAATAATCTGCACACAAATAAGCCACATCTGTAAGAATAGACGTGCACAAAACACTCAGGTTCTGGAACAAGACTAAAGTCCAGAGGTGGAGGAACAATCAGAACTTTCCTCCACAGTTTACATCCAGTCAATGCAAAGAAGAAGACATTGAGATATGAAGCTTATGGGCATTACTGAATTTAGCTGTGGCATAATTTCTGTAAAACTGTCAAAACATACACACGTACCTGAGTCTTACTGTACCTTTATTAGCTAATTATGACACTAAAAAATTAAAAAATTATTTCCTTCTATTTTTATCCCCCTCGGATTGCCATCTTAGATTATAAAATCTCAATCTGGATGACAGACCAATAGAGCAAATCCTGGATACCCTGTTCAATCTATTTTTTTTTAAACAACAATTGGGGCACCATAATGGCTATTCTAGCCCAGTACACTTAGTCTTGTGTGAGTTGCTACACAGCAAACAAACTCACTGCTCTCCTATTTTTAGCCGAACCCTGCAGCTATGTCCTCCTCTTGAGCTCTATCTCTTATTCTCTATCTTGAGCTTCCTCTGTTACTATTTTCTTGTAGGTTCCAGTGAAAGTACATTCTTCTTTATTACAGTGGTGTTTTTTTTAAATTTTGTATCTTAACCAGCACCCGCAAATTTTGTCTAACTTTTTGTTTTTTTAATTATTTCATGAAATTTGTTGAATTCTCCCCCTTAGTCTGCATTACTTATTCTGACATATGGTGTAATCATTCTTGTCTGTATAGACACTAGTTAATGCACTGCTGTAGTTTGTTAGTACTTGTTAGAAAGTACTTTCCACAGAATGGGTACTAAGTCATTTCATCATTGATCAGACAATTTTCTGGGAAAAGTAGGGTACAAAGTCACTTCATCATTTTTCAGACAAAGTTCTGGAAAGGAAAGGTATGAACAAAGAAGATTGTCCCCATGCCTCATATTTTATGACATAATATTCATTTAGGTTAAACAATTCACATCCTTTCAGCGGTAAGTGCAATTAGATTTAAATTTAAAATTTGCTTTACACAGTGTCAAGGATATCTATATACATACATCGTGGACTGGAATTTGCATAGCTTTCTCTGAAGGGGTGAATTAGTGATTCTGATATGCTGTTTTAGTTCTCTCTTAGTTCTCTCCAAAGCTGTGCATTAGTGATTCTGACATGCTACTTTAGTTCTCTTTCAATTCTCCTCCAAAGGTGTGCTTTAGTGATTCTGACATGATTCTGATTTATGTCTATTTTATTTACTACTTAAATTATGTATAACGTGTTCTGTATATTAACTAAAAGGGCATGACATATTTTTATATTTTAATACTTACATCAACTTCCTGCCATTCATTTAAGAACTGAAAATCTCCATCTGCGTTACTGAGACCAGTCACAGTTCTACAAGAAAAAATATATGTGACATCCAATGCTGATGCTTAAAATAAGATTGATTTCAATCGTTAGTAGTTTTTGTTTTTGAATCCGTGTAGCCAGTTCAAGAACATGACACAGTAAATATGAAGGTGTAACGGTTCTGGGTTGCCCAGCTGTGCTGCATTACCTAAAGTGAGACGACAAGGTCTAGAAGTTCAGCAGAAATTCTGTGAACGTCATTATTACTAAAAAGTGGTGCACTGGTGTACATAATAGCTGCAATAGCACACATAAATACTGCTTATGTATGGTGGTAGCCAAACAATAAGCAACAGTCTTGGCTGACTCACTAAACTACATGAGTGAGACATAGGAGTAATTTCCACTATGCAGAAATGTCCGCCAACAGTACACGAAGACAGAGATGATGATACAGACAATGATATAAGTGGGAGGGTAACATCAAAAGATGGGTGGACAGCAGTCTGAGAGAGTGTACAAACAAGACAAGAGACAGTGTGTGCTGGAGATATACTGCAGCCAATTTTCACTGTGGAGATGGCACCTGATTGACTAATCAATAGCAGTGGCCCAACAACTGTCTGCTGGTCTGAAAGGCAGATTTGTATGACTGAGCTAGGGATCTCAGTTCAATTCAAGCTAAAATGGGTACCAGGATATTCTCAGGGAAGAAAAGGCAGTTGGCATGACACAATTGACCACAATGCTTAGTGAGTGCCAGGTTGTCTATAAAAAATATAGGTCAAGCCCTATATGCCTGATAAGCCAATAGTGTGAAAAAGATCCTCCCTTTTACTTCTCCAGTACTTGTTCTCTGTTTAGGGTTTCTAAAAAAAAAAAATGTTTTGTTTGCCTTCTGGTATATGAATGAATGAATTAAGAACTGACATCACTGCAATCCATAATGTGCTCAGTCTCCTTTATCAGTAGTTAATGAAGAGCACCCACACAGTACCCACACTGACGGTGCCAGCAGCAACTGATTAAAAGTCTGCCCAGCTTCTTCCTTGCATGTTGTAAATCATCTAGACCAGGGGTAGCCAACCTTTTTTTTTTCTGTGGGCCAAATTTAGAATTACCAATCTGGTTGCTGGCCATATAGACAAAAAAAATCCATTATACTTTATTCCTTGCTACGCCTCTGGTTAGACACTAACCCACTGAAGCCCTTCTATATATTCAGTTTTTGTAAGGAGTAGAAAATTATAGGGAAGAGAAAAAGTTGGTAAGAAACAACAATTAGTTTATGTTAGCTATATATTCATAAATGTGTTTTGTTCAAGTTGGTTGTTCTGCTATTTTGTGAGCTCAAGGGCTAGATTATTTTATTATTTTATACCAGCCTCACAGGCCAGTAAAACCTGGCTATAGTTCTCCAACCCCTGATCTAGACTCTCTGCCTACCTGCTGAATTTGTAATTTGAGGAACAGTTACTCTGTTTCACTGCTCTGTCCCTATGATCCCAGAGAACTTTCATCATCTTCACTTTTACCATAAAGCAGCTCACCACCCAGAGGTTTGGCAACAGCCAATCTATGAGTCTGCTCATTACCCTGACACCAGAATATCTGAGGCAGACAAATCTATATGCTCTGATCTGTGTGTTATTAAACAATGCCAACTACTCTAGGCATACTGTTATTATACAGTCTCTAGCAGATTGGCTCTCATGCAGAAGACCTTGGTTCGAATGCTTGGCAAATTATGGGTTTTCCAGTTGAGGGTAACAATGAAATCGTGACCTGTATGCTCTGTGGCTACAGTACTAGCCATGCAGCCTCAAATCTGCAGGCTCAAAGATCCTCCTGCCTACATCACAAACTTAGTAACTGTGCAGTAATAGCAGTTCTTACAGGAAGTCCATTTAGTGATTAAAACAAAACAAAAGCCAGTCTAATAAACAAATTACATTTGCACTGGCATGAAGGTGAAGTCTGAAGATGACTAACAGCTACTTCTAGTAGTTTTTCTGATTATGTCCTTAGTGTTATACTCCAATTTTTATACTCTAATTTAAGTTGACAAACAATAGACTATGAGATAATTATCTATAACTCAGGAGTTCAAAATTAAAGTCTGTTTTTTTTCTATTCTGATAAACGACTTGCAGAAAATATGCATTGTAACAGGTGAGTGGGCAGGTATATGTGTATGTGCGTGCACACATGCATATGTGCACTGCATTAATAACAGTTAGTACGTCTATTTATTCTCATTAGGTTAGCCTCAGAAATGGAGGTTACATAAAGAAACATATAACTATGTCTAAAAGCCGAAACTCACGTGTATGCATCAGACTGAAGCCCAGCGCACTTTTCATCAAACTGGACGCAAGTACCATCTTCCCGAGCATAGCATCCGTGTACTTCACGTGCATCTATAAATAATTGAAGCATGTTCTTTCAGTGAGAGTTTATGAACATATTATGAATTGTTTGACTTCAAAATATTGTGCAACAGTTTATGAAACAGTCAAAGTTGTAGTCACAGAGTGATCATAAAGTGATTCATACAAGTGACAGTTTATAGACCAATTGAAGTGATACCAGTGAAAAAAGTGACTTGTCGATACCGAACACCTGCTTCGACAACAGTTTACCTGGCAATGATTTGTTTCTGTTGCAACAATTTGCACTTGACATGGTCAAGGAGTATCTGTCGCAGATTCATGTCCTTTCCAAAACATTTGTGCCCAATTTGTCACACTGTTCTGTGACACATATTTGCTTGCATACTTGGATGAATCTCACTGGTCGACATCCTTCAAGCGAAAGAAATTGTATAGTTGCTCTTTGAGCTTCTTTGGATGGATACTGGATTAACCCAGAGATTTTCTCAATGGTCAGAAACAGAAACTATGCATCAGACAACAATAAGCATGTGCTCTTATTCACTGGTCAGTATGTTGAGTTTAGTGAGACAAGACAGCACTTGGGGCATTCCCATGTGTGCTCCATCCTCATCTTCAGCAGCCAGCGCAGTGTTCCAATACTGATGGTACTGGCCACAATCTGGTTATATGTCCGTCTTGCCTTTCCTCTGAGTGTAGTGAGCCGGTCAGACCCTCTGGTTACACCCAGGTGCCTCATTCTCTCCAGGCCATAATAATCTTGTTTCTCTACTGATTCCGTTGCTTGTTCTCAAAGGGCCTTGACTACATCTTGACCACTTACTATGCCGGCATGGCCTGGAGAAAAGATTCACTGGTCAGTACTTACACATGACCATGACATGAGCAAGTTCAACACAGGCAATTATGTAGGTTCCACACGAATGGGTTTCAAATGAACGCTCCTTATACCTAAATTAAAATATTAAAAAGACTACTGTGACATGTTTCCTCACTGCTGCTGTCTTTTGGAAAGGTTCTGTTATTGGTGAGGTATCGTGAAACAGGCCAAGGCAGTCATCATATCTTGCACAAAATTAATCTTATAAACCTAAATAATCAGAAGATATTAAAAAAAAATAATAATAATAATAATAATCACATAGGAGTATACCAGCATGAACAAAATAAAATTGTAATGTAATCAAACAATCTTTAATCCCAAGATGATAATCCAAAGCATTGGATGGTTTAGACTGCCACTGTCTAATCCAGACCAAGCATCCAGAAAAGAAAGATGACATTAACAACAATGTGAGCAGCAAGCAGCACTCTGCTTACCTTGTGGCTGAGACCAGCAAACAATAAAGGCATTTTTCAGATAAAGTGGGTGGTCTGCACCTCTATATCTCTGTGTGTACTGACTCACAATCTCTGTCGCTCTGAAGAACAGTCTCAGAGTGACTTCATACCCCTCATCTAGACTTTCTTCCAGCTTCTGCAATACAGTACAACAAAATAGAAGAGCATTAGGGAAGTTATTCATCTTCTTCTTTGTTCATATTCTTAAGGAGGTGTTTCACCCAACACAAAACTAGTGTCATGAGCCACTTCACGCTGAGGGAGATACTGAAGAGGGGATCGGAGCACTAATGGACTAAATGGTTGTATGTGTTATGATGATAATTTGTCAACTAACTAACTAACTAACTAACTATCTAAGGGATTTTTATGTAGATATTTCTAAACCTAAGGTAGGACTAAACCAGGAGCTAGAAGCAGACACCAAAATGTCTTTGTCACATCATCCACAGACACATTTTCCAATTTCAGACACATGGGCAGATCTGATTATGAAAGTCAAACAAATTCTTCATTTACAGATAGTAAAATGTATGTGCTCATCTGTTTCCAGTTTGACTGCAGTCATTCTCTGTTAACCATGTCAAAAATGAGCATCTTATTCCCATCTGTTGGCTCAACGGCCCCATTCTGGGAGGAAAAGAACAGACCCACTGCCTCCTTTCAAGCATGTTGTAAAAGGCCACTTGATAGGGGTTTTCCCTCTAAAGCTAGAGTGCATCTGCATGAGTCACAAGGAACCAACAGTCTGCATACAATTAAGACAGCTCTGTAAAACAGATGTGCATACAACAATCAATTTCTGGAACAGGACTAAAGTTCAGAAGTTGACAAACAACCAGAACTTTCTGCCTAAGTTTACAGCCAGTGAAAGCTAAGAAGAAGAAGACAAATAAGCATCATACCATTGGAAAAAACAATGGCAAACTACTGAATGTAAAACTGCCTAGCATAAAAACACTTCAGTCAATATATTCTTGATGTTAAAAAGCATGACTGTGGTCAAGGGGATAACAAGAAGTATGAAATAAAATATGTGACTAGAAAAACAGTGGGAAATGAAAAGATTGGTTTGTGTAGTATGTAGTTCTCTGTATAAAGATTGGCAAAAATTGTCAGTTTATTACATGCGTCTTTTCCATTCACTCTAATGTGCTTTGAAGTTCATATTTTTTGTTGTTTTTAATATATTCTTGAGTTGGTTTGCAATGTTCTGAAGATGAAATGCAACTAACTTTTTTTTAAAATTTCAAACTGCCATTACTTCCTGTTTTTACCATTGTTTTGGTGTAGGGGGGGGGGGGGGGGAGACCTATCCTTCCTTAACTCTTTTAGTACTAAGGAACGCATGATGTGTGATCAACTGCGGCCTTTTATAAGAGCAAACATTGATTGATGTCACTTTTTTCCTTAAACGAACACACACAAAATTGCTTCTGCATTCCTGATTTTAGCAAAGCAACTTGGCGTCCTCAGTAGCAACTTTTATGCTTTACTTCACTGCAGCACTGGTTTGTTTTTTAAAAGTGTTTACATTGAAAAAAAATATGTTAAAATTTGTGAATCATCTCTTGGTACTAAAAGAGTTAACAAGCATATTGTATATGGCACAGATATCAGTACTAAGAAAAAAAAAATCAGTGTGCTAACACAGAAAAAGAAAAAATGAAACATGTTATTTTAGAAAACTCTGGTCAATTGTTCATCTCATCATACAAAACCACTATCTTCTGTTTCCCGTATTTCTAACTATTTAAAATACTACATAAGATGAATGAATTTTACATCTAAATGGCAGGAACACATTTTTGCTCTGACATGTTAATAGTCACAATAATTACCTGGTGCGCTATCTTTAAATCAAACTTTTGAGACCCAACCTTTTCCACCGCCAAGTCCTAAAGAAAAGAAACAATACATAAATAATAAGCAAACAGAAATAAAATGATGCCAGATGAGCAAGATGTAGACGATTCCCAGAAATTAAGAAGAGAAGATCAAGAGGCTGACAAACACCAGTCTGTTAGAGTACAGTACCAGGGCAAGAGGCAGAAAATGATCATTTCACCATGTTTTATCCCATATGGTTTCAGTCTCTCATTGCAGAGCAGCTGTATCCTCTGGAAAGACAATGAACAAAGCATGAAACTGCAGCTGCAGAGATGACCTCCAAGCATCTTGGAAACACTTGCCCTCATAAACTGAAAGACAAAGAGTCAGGAAACCAAAACCCCAAATCCTTAAACCTTAAAATGAACAATTCAACCACTTTGCCAACGAGATCCCTCCGGGGTTTTTAGTTATAGCTTTCACCAGCTGGAAGCAATTTATATTGTAATGACAGGTGACAACGAGTATTACACTGACAGTCAATCAACACTGACACACTGTACAAACAATTTGCCATATACTCAAGGGGGTGTGGGGGTCTCGCTATTACTCAAGGAGGTGTGGGGGTTTTGTCATATACTCAAGGGGATGTGGGGGTTTCGTCATATATTCAAGGTTGGGGAGGGGGCCCACGACCTGAAAAAGGTTGGAGACCCATTTGAAAGGATATAGGCTAACGGGGAAATGGCCACCTGGAGAAGATTGGGTCTAGCCAGGGTTGAAATACTGCCTGGGATTGGATTCAACTCCTGTAAATATGGCCATCCTTTCAGATCAAAGTTTAAGACTTTAAATTAGTAACTGCTCGGCACAGAATAACTAACAGCAAGCAAGTGCTCAGTTCAGAAATAGTTTATGTGCATTGAAGTCAGACACCCTTCATTACATCTTAGTCAAGCAGAATAACAAAATGGGAACTTATTCAGATCAATACAATACAGGGGATTCACTTTTAAAAAAAAGCAATAGGAAAACTGTAACAATAATGTAAATGACTCACCTACCGTCACAAAATGCTGCATGTAAAAAAAAAAAGTACATTCAAAGAGAAGAAAATAACTTGGAACAAATGTTTAGGTAAAGCTTCAAGGTGACACCAAAATATCAATGCAGTGTGTGTGTGTGTGTTTGTGCACGAGTGCGCATACGCATGTGTGCGTGTGCATGTGTGCATGCAGACACATTTATATGTGCAAGTGTGAGTACATGTTTGTTGGCTCTAGTGCTATTTTCCATATTATTTAAGAAATTAACTGCAACAGTGTGGGTAATATGAATTTTATATAAAGTTATATTTGTGTGACAAAACTATTTATTGTGGTGGAAAGTCACTTTGATTCCAAGTAATGGTGCTTGCTCTATGATGATGTTCTAAAAATGTCTGTGGAACAAGATCTAAAGTACAGATGATTCTTACATTTTATTTATAATATATTACTAAGTTCATTCTGGAAATATTAATTGAGTTTCCCTTAAGCACCGTGACAGTATGTTTAAAAAAACATTATTTCACTTTAATAACTTCTATAAAAAAGTCATCTCTTTCTTTATCAATATTTCATTACAAACATAATTATTTGTTGTAATAGTGTACAAATATTAATCCTCAACATCACCTGCTCAATCTGATGTATAATATGTGTATCTTGAGCAGTAGCTGTAGTTGTGTGGTCTGTTTTAATGTGTACATTAGTCATATAATATTTACAGGACTTTGAAGAACCAACCCCAGCGATTTTTTTTGTTGTTGCTATCCTGGTTTAACTAGGCAATTTTACGTTCAGTAATTTGCCATGGCCTTCTGAACAGTGGGCTTTGGATATCATTTTCTAATTGAAGCAAAGTAAACTGCTGTCAAGTCACCGACAGCTGGAATCAAACCGGGTACCTTTGAATTACAACTGTGTAACATTTGTGAAATTTTAAAATGTCATTACAGGTAACGCAGGTAACATAAGAGTTACGTAATAACTGGAGCAGTTTAGCAGGAACAACTGGATATGGCACAAGAAGTTTAAAAAAATTTATATGTAAGTAGAACATAACAATTGGTCCAAATGGAGCAATGATGCACAATACAAGACTCTCAAAGTCTCTTGGTCTATTCTGCTCAAGCCTACCTCACCTTCATGTGGTGGACCCTGTCTTCCCAAGTAATCCAATGGAAGGTTGGGGTTTTAATCGCCAGTGAAAAACTGGATAGGAGTCTAGTGCATGGTGTGACACTGTGAGTTGTGAATTTGATGAGGAATGCTCATTGTCTGTGCTCCCAGAGATGTGTGTTGCATGCAAACTACATATTCAGAAAAAGAGGAGTGGCTAGTTGCTATTGAACTGGCAGTGTGCCCTATGCAGAATCTGTGCACTTGCTTGTTTATTATGATTGCTGCTTCCATCAAATATGAATAGCAATTCTAATGACAAGACTGTAGATACCAATACATCCGGCAGCTGCCTTATGCATTTGATGTGCATGCAAACTGCTGGGTTTTTCCATTGCTGCTTGACCGTTCACATGAGACAACAACACGCATTTTGTGTGGATTTCGGTGGCATAGGAACAAAGGAATTATGAGGTAACCCGTTTGCAATGAAGCTGGAATCCCAGCTGATAGCCTGAGATCCAACAAATGCATTGGCAGAGTGCTAATTACTCAAAAATTACCAAACCAAATATCTTATAATGTGAAATCATCATTATTCTTGGCATCTTTGAAGAAGGTAGTTTGCCACTGCTCTCCTTCTTGGCTGTGACTATACTGATCCAGTGACCACTGTCACTGATATTAGTGTGAGACTCTGCCTACTGTCGGGAGTCTTGAGACCATGAACAACAACTATCTGGCAACTGCTCTCAGATAAAATCCTCTTTGTATGGGTTCCGGGGCCCCGTTGTGGAGAAAACAAGAAGAGACCCACTGCCTTCCCAGCAAGCACGTCATAGGAGTAGACTAACTGGGGACTTCCTTCGAAGTCAGAGTGCATCTGCCCGAGCGGCAAAAAACAACCAAAGGCACACAAAGCCAGTAAAACGGATGTACACGCAAAACTCAGGCCCTAACACAAAACCAAAGTCCAAATAGATGAACAACTTACAGCTTCTGAACACAGAAGAAGAAGAGGAGAAGACAAAATTCACCACCTGCTCCCATCAGTCTTACACTGGGAAGGCAAAGAGATAAATACAACAAGCAAAGACAAAAGCAATGACGATCCACAATTCTGGTTATCACGCAAGATGGGAAACAAGTCCACCTACATTTACTGACAGGGCAAATGATGATATTACAGGGGGGAAAAAAGTGTCATTACTGCACACAATCATAATATATTTGAAACAAATTCACAAATATGTAAAGAGCCAGCTTACTTTTGTCAGAGTGAGAAGCTCCTCACACTGTTCGTCTTTCAGCATTCCATCAGTGACAAATCTGCCCTCCCTGTGCAGGTCCACTGATTTCGCAATGACATGTACGCCCAACTTCTCATACTTTGTCATCCAGTCATCTGTCTCTTCCTCATAAAGTCTTTCTGCCCTGTGTGAATCTTCATCTGTTGCCTAAATAATTATGAGAAGTAATTTGACTGCACATAGGAAACAGAAACAGAAGTAGCCATCTTGTTAAATGTGAATTTATTTCATATTTTCGGAATCAAGCAACTCCCCTATGCATCCAGTGTGTTCTTCATCAACTCCGGCAGAATGATCTGTTTCTTCTTTCACTTCTGTAGTCCAGAACCTGAGTTTTGCACATGTGTTGGACAGATCTGGCTCATTTATATGCAGACTGTTGGTTCCTTGCCTCTCAGTCAGATGCACTTCAACTTCAAAGGAAACACCATAATTAGTCGCTTTTATGACATGCTGGTTAGAGTGTGTATGCTTTTCATATAAAACTTGTACCAGGAAAAGTTTGAGAGTAAAAGCTATTGGTATGATACTAACCACACTGCTCTAAAACTCAACTCTTAAAAAAAAAATTTTAATATGAGAGGCTAATGTTGTAAGACTGGATTCCATCTATGATAGGTCTATTCAACTGGCAGCAAGCGGGCCATATCTAGCCCGCAGAGGCCTAGTATGTGGCCCCCGGATCATTGCCAGTTGTATAGTATGACTGATCTTTCCATGGTGGGGCCCGTGACGATCTCCATATGCAAATTTTGGTACCTCAGTAGATTTAGTTGAATAGCCCTGACCTATGATATCAAAAAAACTGCACAGGAAAGAACGGAAGGAAATAGACTGTGAGTTCTGGGTGACATTTAAAGGCACAGTAGGACAATGATCATGGTGACGATGATGACTGGCTAATTTCTGTTCAATTTCTCTGTTTCTTTCATTCTTTCTTCTGCAATGGCTAACTTCAACTGATCCTGATCCAAACATCTACAATTATATTTTACTGAAACTAAAGACTAGCTCGGAGGTGCCTACTCTAAATTGGAAAGTATTGAAGTAACAAGTGCCTGGTTTAAAGTTAGTTGCTTATCCTTTACAGGACGTTGCAGAACCAACCCCAGCATTTGTTGGCTGTTGTTTTTCTTGGTAAGTTTTACGTTCAGTAGTTCGCCACTGCTTTCTGAATGGTCAGCTCTCAGTACCACTGTCGAAACTATCGCAAGAAAAACTGTCTCTAGCTGGGATCAAACACGGTACCCCAGCATTACGAAGCTCGTTCGCAACGCCTAAGCCATAAATGCTGATAAGTGCATGGTACTGATAGTAAATTGAGATGCGTATACTTTACAGGATGTTCCTGAAGGCTTTGTTATGCAATTTTCCGTTCAGGAGTTTGCCATTACTTTCTGAATGATCAGCTCTCAAGACAACTGTTGAAACCAATGCCACTTCATTTGCAACTAGAATCTAATCAGGTATCTTGAAATTACAAAGTATGTTTGCAGCACCTAAGCCACATAAGCCGAAGGTACTGAAAGAGTTTTTTTTTAAACTAATATTATTTTGATGCATAAGTGCAAAATCAGAGTTGATTTCATGTGCCTCATAGTTGTGGTATTTTTGTTTTAACATAAGAAAATGTGCAAATTGAACACAAAAATCAATCAGGTAATGTCTCCACACTGAAGGCTGGCTACAATGGATCTCCAACACTCTTTTTTTCTTGGTAGTATAACCCCCAACTGCTATTCTTCTATTTTTTAAATGATGTCCTCCCACTTGCATCACTGTCTACCTCATGTCGTTTACTTCCTCCTCCAGTATGGGTTTTTAAAGAGAACCATGTCTTAATGTTGCCAAAATATGTAAACTGTCTCTTATTATTCATTTCAACAACTCTCTTACCATTCTCAATCTCTTCAGAATCTATGCATTTGATTGTTTTTGTTTCCATGAAATACCATTGATTCTTCTGAATATCCACAAATCCAGGAATTCCATAAACTTGATTTTCTAGGTGCTTATTCACTGTCCAGGTTTCTGCACACCTGGTCATGCGGGCGTAAAAGGGAAATGAGCGAGTGGACCAACTGGCAAGCACTGCACTAAGGCATGTGGGAAAAAGCATGGACAGAGCAGATCTCGTCAACGCTGTACGGACGGGGCTAGTGGATAATGAGGAATCCCAGACACTAACATGATTGCGTGGCATGGGGGTAAAGCATGGTGAAGCACGTCTATGCCGTCTTCGAGGCCAAGATAGGAGACAATATAACCAGCTTCTCATGGGAACAATAAGTAGAAGTACTTTGGAGTGGCTGCTGCATCGGAGGACTGAGCACACATGGGAGTGTGCAGTGACATCGATTGTGATAACATAACTTAACATCTGCACCATACAGTAGAGTTAAGTATAAATAACATTATCCCTATAGCTTTCAATAATGTTCACCTGCTGAAAAAGATACAACAGTAAAACTTAACAAATACATGTGAAGAAAAAAAAAAAGAAGAAGAAAACTTACATTGCTTTCACCTGGCCATCTATAGTTTTTGGTGAGAAAGTCCATCAAATCTTGCATCTCCTTTCGCAAATTAGCATACTCTTTGACATCCTAAAGTGACAATGACAATAAAGAGCCATAATTTTGGATAGTTTCAAATAATTTGTCTATCTTTCAATGCCATCCTCATAAAAAGCTAAAATACAGAGGTAATAAGGGTTTTCCAGTCTTTTATATGTGTTGCATAAATGTGTGAAAATTGCGATCATTTATCAGTAACACACATTTCCTTTTTTTAGTTATTCACAAGAACACATCTGTAAGGTCAGGTCAACTGTGGCATTGCAGGGAGCAGTTGGGGACAGCTAGCTCTCCTTGGAGGGTTAGTTAGTTGCTTATCCTTTACAGGCTATTGAAGAACCAACCCCAGTATATTTTGGCTGTTGTGGTTTTTCTAGGCAAATTTTAAATTTAATAGCTTACCACTGCTTTCTGAACGGTGGTACCCAAAGCAAGATAAACCGTCTGCAGCTGGGATCGAACCCAGCACCCGGGCATTACGAAGCATGTTGGGAACGCCTAAGCCACAGACGCAGAGGGTGAAAATTTGTAAATAGTAGCCTGTTGCTGGCCTGTGGTCTAACTAGCCAAACCCACTTGCCCATAATGCAGACTGATAGCTGTATCAGGAAAATGGCACCAGAAGAGGACCTGGCTACGCTAGAGTTAAAAAACTATCAGACACACATCATATTTCAACTGGTGACCCAAGGCAGGTAGGTAGTGTTAGGGGACTATGATGATGATGATAACGATGATTACGACGATGATGATGATGACGATGATGATGACGACAATGAAAATGGTGGTGATGATGATGATGATGACGATGATGTAAAAGATTCTACACAGACCAGCAGCTTCAAGGTCATAAATTCATAAACTATAGATGGGGAAAAAAGCATTCGAAACAGTTGTGGCACAGCAAGATTATTTCAAATTTGGAAGAACCCAGAAGGTGGGGAAATTCTTTTAACTGACTGAGCTTACATGTTAAATAAGCAACAACAAAATGGGCATCAGAAAAGGTACTTAGAATGATTACCATATTATGGACAGACCAGAGCAAGTCATTATCCTACGAAGAATAGGGCATAATCCACTTCACAGCCACATGAATAGACAATTTAAAATTGGTGAATCAGCCATGTGTATCTGTGGACTGGCATCTGAGATAGCTGATCACATCCTCCAAGACTGTCCCAAATACATTTACAGACAAAACTTCTGGCCTAGAGAGACACGGGTGGAAGCGAAACTTTATGGACCACTAAAGTCAATTACAAAGGCAGTGAAGTTTATACTAGCGACAGCATTGCAGATATAGATAATATATTTCAAAGGAACGAAAGAAGAAGAAAAAGGTACTTAGAAGTAGGGCTGTACCGAATAGTGATTTTCACTATTCGGCCGAATAGTGATTTTCACTATTCGGCCGAATACGAATAGCTGGACCAACTATTTGGCGGAATACGAATAGTGAATCATCATCATCAGGTGCCTTACCGACTGGCATGGGCGATTATGCCTCGCCACAATCTGCGATCTCCTGCAGCATGTATTAGTTTGTGTGCTGACACACCTCCATGCCATGCAACAAAGCTGTCAAGAAACTTCTCTCGTTGTCTTCCTCTATCCCTCCTTCCACATATCTTTCCAGTGGTCACCACACATTCCATTTTCCCTCATCTTATAACATGGCCGAAAAATGATGACTGTCTCCTTCTGAGGTCTGTGAGTAGCTGTCTTTGAGCACCCGCCTCTTTCAAAACCTCTTGGTTGCTTTTTTTTTTTGTTGTTGTTGCTGTCCAAGGTATTTTAAGCATTGTTCTGTAAAACCACATCTCTGAGGCTTCAAGAAATTGTTTGGCCTGCCTACAGATTGTCCAGGACTCACAGCCATATGTTAAAACTGGATGTATTTAGCAAGCAAGAATTTTTTTTCTAACCTTCAATGACAAAGATATATTGCATAAGATGTTCTTCATTTTATAAAATGCAGTTTTTGCCTGTCCTATGTCGGCTTTGTGTCTAAGTCAATGCGAACGCTTTGTAATGCCGGGATGCCGGGTTTGATCCCAGCTTCGGGCCATGCGCCTTGTGTTGGTTTTGACAGTGTTATCAAGAAAGCCGACCACGCAAAAAGCAATGGCAAACTACTGGACATAAATTTGACTAGAAAACCCACACAACAGCCAGGGGCTGTTGGGGTTGGCTCTGCAACGTCCTGTAAACGATACGCAACTAACTGCCTGTCCTATTCTGTTTCTTACTTCAGTTATGCATCTTCCCTCTGATGTTATCCATGTGCCCTGATACTTAAATTTCTGTACTTGTCCCAAAATAAAACCATTGACTTTTATTACACATTTAGCAATAATTATTTTATTTGATACCACCATTACTTCTGTCTTCCCACTATTCAAACGGAGGCCCATTCTTCCATTTTCGAATAGTGTATAAAATAGAACTAAAAAAAAACACATCCATAATGTCAAATGTACACTGAAAGTTTACTTCACAAAATGTAATACAGAATAGTAAACATTTAAAAACATTTCATGTTTTGCATCTTCAGTCAGTCATTCCGTGGTAACTAATACATAGGAGTGAAAGTATTCTTAGTTTTATAACAAGTAACTAAACTTGTTAACTGTCACTGACAGCTTAGTTAATCCATGAAAGCGGCATTAGCTTTCCACACACACAAAAATCGTTCCATGTTGTCAGCATTAAAGGCAGCTTCTTGTCTCACTGAAGGTATTTGCAGCTGTACTAAACAGACGTTTACTTGGTACGCTTGTAGGTGGTGCACAAAGATAACGCTTGACAGTAAAAACCAAAGTGGGAAATCTTGATATGTTTATTTTCCACCAGTCCAGAAACGGGTGTAAGGTAACCACTATTCGTATTCGATCCGACCGCAACTATTCGGCCGAATACCGAATAGTCAATAGGTCCATTATTCGGCCCCGAAGCGAATATTCGGTACAGCCCTACTTAGAAGTAAATGCAGCCTTGTGACAGTGACAATCTTACTCAGACTTGTCTACCTTAAACTGAGTGCTGGTTGGTCTGCAAAAATATGGTGCCAGAACCATATAACTAATATGACACAGGGCAGGATAGTTCTTGATTTTTATTAGCACCTATACATGTACTACTAACAGACTCGAGTGACAGTGACAATCTTACTCAGACTTGTCTACCTTAAACTGAGTGCTGGTTGGTCTGCAAAAATATGGTGCCAGAACCATATAACTAATATGACACAGGGCAGGATAGTTCTTGATTTTTATTAGCACCTATACATGTACTACTAACAGACTCGAGTGATCACGAAGTCAAGATCCCGTCAGCCACCCCTACTTCTCAGGACATTACCTGGTACCCATTTTACGCGAGCTGACATGGAAGCCAAGGTCAAATTTGGAAGAAAAATCCCCTTCCATGTGGATCTGAACCCTAGACCTTTGAGTCAGCAGTAATGCATCTAGTCACTGTGCTGCTGCAGCTTCCCTTATACATTTGCCAGGATTATTTTATAGCTGAGGAGAAAAAAAACTATAAAGGGTTAATCTATTTAAAATTACTATAAAAGTAATTTTTTTTTTTAATCTTCATTTACTTAACAGATTAACTTATAAAATGGTTTTAAAGAATGATATTGTGACCAAAATGGTGTATTGTGGAAAGAAGAATATTCTAAAACATTTAGTTCTATGCTCAAAACTTTCCACTCTCCCCATAAAACTGTTTTACAATATTTTTTGTTTACAATATCTCCCACTGCCTGAGAACAAATAATGTAAAGTATCATAATGAAAAACAAAAACAAAAATAGCCTCACCTCTCAAAGTACAAAATCATCGACTGAATAATTTAAAAAAAAAAAAAATAGTCTACCTCTTGAGGCACAAAATCCTCGTCTGAATAATTTAAAAAATTGTCTCACCTCTCGAGGTACAAAATGGTTATCTGAATAATTCAAAAAAATACTCACCTTTTGAGGTACAAAATCATCATATGAATCATTCAAAAAAAATAGCCTCACCTCTTAAGGGACAAAATCATTTTCTGAATAATTAAAAAAAACTGTCTCACCTCCCGAGGTACAAAATCATTATCTGAGTAATTTAGCTGTGTCTTCAGCACCTCCTTATTCTCCTTCATAACTTCATGACTAGAGTTGAGAACCAGAAAAGATTCTGTGACCTCAACTGCCTTCTCCAGATTGCCTTCTGTTGATGATAACAAATAATGTGTTAACAGCAACAGGTATTATATTCTTTCGGAAGCAAATACTCATGTTCATGTAACATTACCTCTTTGAGTACCAAATAATGCCCCACATGTGTATAGTGAATCTGAAAACATCTTATGTGTGTTTCTGTATCTTTAGTCATGGCAGCATATCTGTCTCCTAGACATTGTGGGTAATTCTTCTTCTTCCTCTGTGCTATATCTTCCAATGGAGCATAGGCCCTCAACCAAATTATCCTAACCTTTGCTGCTGCCTGCAGCTCACCCCATGCCCTCTCTATTTTTTCAACTTCACTCTCCAACTCCCTTTTCCATGTGTTTTTTTAAGTCTGCCGTTACTTGCATGCCCTTCTGGGTACCAGTGCAAAAGACATTCTACTTACACCGTTCTCAGGTTTTCTTACAATTAGTGCTATCCAATGTCAGTAACTTTTCTTCACCTCTGTATTCACTGGAATTTGTTTAGTTCGCCCCCAAAGTTCAAATTTAGTGATTCTACAACCATTTACTTCTCACCCTACAATTTAATTCTCTGTATTCTGGGCAGGCATCAGTTAATAAATGTTCTTAGTATATTAGTCATTGTTTTGATTGTGTCTCCTTGTTTCCAATCCATCCAGCAGTACTGACTTGACATTAGAATTTACAATCTGAAGTTCAAATTAGTTTTAATTTGCATCAAAAACAGCTAAATCTTGTATTCATAGACATTAGAAAACACTTCAGCCAAAGGGTGCCATGCAGTATTCTGGGATGCTGTAAAATTTTATATGGGTAAAATCCTTATA